TCACTTTCCGCGACTTCTCGACCTGCCTCGACCTGATGAGGGCCAGTGTGATGAGCTGGCGGCAGGGCGTTGCTGACGGACACTTTGATAAAGTACCACTCTCTGCCACCAGACTCCCTTGCATCCAAAGTTTCGGGAGGCGCCCGCTTTCGTTGAGAACCTCGATGGTCCACTGCGTAAATCGACCGACGACTGGACGGTGGCCGCTCGAACTTCTCTCAACGACGAGCTAACCTGCACTGACCGACGACCTCGGCCTCAACGCGCGGTGGCTGCCACTCTTTCTGGTCTCCTCACCTCCGAGCGCGCGCTGAGCCGAGCCATCGAAAAACCCCTGAGCACGGTCCTGTGTGACTACGAGCCCTTTCTACACCGTGTCCACTGGGATGAGATTCGGGAGCTCGTGCGCCTCCCCCCGCAGAGCTGGGCCATGGCTGCGATCAGGACTTGGAACAGTGGTTGGTTGACGTCTGCCCGCGTAGTCCATCCTGACGGCCAAGTTCGCTGCCGCTTTGGACGCCGCCGACCTGATCGGCTCTCGCGCTATCTGGTGTGCCCGCGCTTACTTCAAGCTACGGGTCGAGCTCTTCATCGGTGCTTGCCCGATTCGCTGCCGGCGCGCCTGGGCCTCACAGAGCCCAAGCCAGAGAGATTTGAGGAGATGCATGTGGCCTACCAGACCTTCAACTTGACCAGGGAGCGCGGCGGCATCATTGCCCCCAGAACGCTATCCTCGCTGGCGGCCGCTGCTACTCGGTCTCTTCGGCTTTCTCGTTCCGCGCGGGCACTGCAGAAGATCGAGCCCCCGCGGTTGATTATCGTCTCCACGCGCATCGAGAATATCTCGTCATCGACCGACTTTAGCACTTCGTCCAGTTCCAGCTCCTCTTCGGCGTCGGTGCCAGGCGGCGACTCGAATGGTGTACCAGCTGGGTGTCCTGGAAGTGGTGTACCTGCTGGGAGTCCTGCACCTGGTGCACCAGCTGGGTGTCCTGCTAGTGGTATACCAGCTTAGTGCCCTGCAAGTGGCGTCCCAGCTGGGTGTCCCGCCAATGGTGTACCAGCTAGGTGTCCTGAAATTGGTGTACCTGCTCGGTGCCCTGCTCGTGGTGTACCAGCTGGGTGTCCTGCTACGGGTGTGCTAGCTGGGTATCGGCCGCGTTCAGTGATTGATGAGGCGTCTCAGGAGTTTGCCAACCAGTGCCAGGCCGCGATCCGATATCTCTTCCAAGATGGGGGGGCTACTGGGTGGTCTGCCGCGTCTTCCGCGTCTCCTCCAGTGGCGTGCTCTCCGTGGGCGTCGCTGTTGAGCGGATCAGGAGTTGGGGGCGCCCTCAGATCGCCCCACAATGAGCCCTGCGCGAGTCAAAGCCATGTGCTATCGTCTAGTGATCGCTTGTCTCCCCACGGGCCTGAGCACCCGTTGTCGCGCGAAGCTCAAGGCGATATGCTCGAGGGCGTGTCTGTGCAATTGTCCTCTCGTTGTCCGCCCACTCTGTTGTTTCCCACGCTTCCATTGATTGCGTCTGTTCCCGCGCGCGTAATGCCGTCGAGGCGGATTTTCTCCATTCGTTCTGTACCTAGTACTCCACATGTTTTGTCTCAGCCTTCACGTGTAGCATATTCGCTGCCCACGCATATTCTTGTCCACCGCTCTCCCTCGTGTTCTTCGCTCCCGATGGCTTCTGCGGATGCTGCTGCTGCTGCTGCTCCCCGCCCGCTTCCCTCCGCCGTCGTCGCCCCCGGCCCTTCGCGCGATGTAAAATCGGCTGCGCTGGTCGCGGCCCTCGACCCGTCGCTGGGCGCGAAGGGCGCGCCTGGCGCCCCGCCGCAGTAGGTGGGGGACACGCGGCCCCCCTGCGTTCGTCTCCTCCTCCTCCTCCTCCTCTCGCACGCTTCGTGGCCCCAAAAGGAGCTCCACCGAAGGCCCCATAGGGGAAGTTCGCATGGCGGCCTCGCGTCATGTCGGCACACCCCTCACGCGCTTCGTGGCCCCATAGGGAGCTCCACCGAAGGCGCCAGTGGCGGCCTCGGGCCATGTCGGCACACCCCTCACACGCTTCGTGGCCCCATAGGGAGCTCCACCTAAGGCCCCAGAGGGAAAGGTTGCATGGCGGCTTCACTTCACGTCGGCACACCCCTCACACGCTTCGTGGCCCCATAGGGAGCTCCACCTAAGGCCCCAGAGGGAAAGGTTGCATGGCGGCCCCTGGCCCATTTTGGCACACCCCTCACACGCTTCGTGGCTCCATTGGGAGCTCCACCTAAGGCCCCAGAGGGAAAGGTTTGCATGGCGGCCCCTGGCCCATTGTGGCACACCCCTCACACGCTTCGTGGCCCCATAGGGAGCCCCACCTGAGGCCCCAGTGGGAAAGTTTGCATGGCGGCCTAGGCCCATGTCGGCATAACCCTCACACGCTTCGTGGCCCCATAGGGAGCCCCACCTGAGGCCCCAGTGGGAAAGTTTGCATGGCGGCCTAGGCCCATGTCGGCACACCCCTCACACGCTTCGTGGCCCCATAAGGAGCTCGAGCTAATGCCCAACGTGGCCCCATAGGGAGCTCCACCGAAGGCGCCAGTGGCAGGGTTCGCATGGCGGCCCCGGCCCATTTCGGCGCATCCCTCACACAGCTCGTGGCCCCGTGGGAAGTTCCACCGAGGGCGCCAGTGGCAGGGTTCGCATGGCAGCCCCGGCCCAATTCGGCACACCCACGGCGCGGTTCGTGGCGCCACAAGGAGCTCCACCGAAGGCCCTAGTCGAAGGGTTCGCATGGCAGCCCCGCCCCATTTCGGCGCACCCTATACCAGGATCGTTGCCCCATAGGGAACTCCACCGAAGGCGCCAGTGGCAGGGTTCGCGCGGCGGCCCCGGGCCATTTCGGTACATCCCTCACGAGGATCGTGGCCCCATAGGGAGCTCCACCTAAGGCCCCAGAGGGAAAGTTCACATGGCGGCCTCGGGCGATTTCGGCACACCCCTCGCGAAGATCGTGGCCCCATAGGAGCTCCACCGAAGGCCCGAGTAGCAGGGTTCGCACGGCGGCTTCGGGCCATGTCGGCACACCCCTCACGAGAAGCATTGCTTCGTAGGGAGTTTCGCTTCTTTCAACGAGCATGGCGTTGTTGCTAGTGCCATTGAAGATGACATCGATATCCCTCTAGACCTCCTGAGCGTAGGTCAACGAGTGGATGGGCTTCCGCTCCGCGTCCTCGAAGTCGGCCTAAATTTAGACTTGTCTCTGAAGGATATTGTGGATGTGCTGGGTGATGGTGAGGACCTCGATCTTGAAATACATGTGTTTGTTGTCGGGAGGGTCTTTTGTCTGCTCCCACGGAGGTGTTGAGAGTAGGGCCTTCCCATCGGGCATTGTTTTCGGCGTGCCGTCCTTGTTGAGCTTGCGCGACATGACGGTGCGGCAGTATCGGACGTGTATGGGCCTCGATGTTCAGTGGAACAGGGCTTTGCCAATTTCCCAGGTAGTCCGGTTGCGTCTGATGAAGTTGCGTATGGCATCGTTGATGGCGTGCTTGACGTCGCTTTTACATGACTGGCGTGTCGTTCCAAAGTAGCCGCCTGTGTAGTGGTGGTTGCAGAGGGTCTTCATCCATCCCTTGGGGGTGTTGACTGGGATGACAGGGCCAACGTCGACGGCGATGTAGGTGTGTTCGGTGTCGAGTGTGGGGGAGAATGCGCCCCTTTGCGCCCGCTCTGGCACTCTTGCAGGCTTATCTGCACACTGTGAGTCCAGTCGGGGGCCGTTGGGCGGGATGTTTTGTAACACGATCTTGCCTTGATGGCCTCGTTGTGAGTGGATGACCATCGTCTGGTCTGGCTGCTGAAACTCTGGTGGCGCATCAGGGCGTTGTCTTCACGTCCATACGTTTGTAGTTAGCTGACCCTCTCAGCGTTTTGTGCCTCGTAGTCCTTGTAGCCCGTGTGGACAGTAGCCTCGGCGTTTTGGGCCAAGGTGATCTTGGCCAGTTGGTCGAATATCAGACAGTCGATTGTCGCGCCGCAGTCGTCGCGTTGGTCATGCAGGCTCCGTCCCCAAGCAAGATCCGCATGTGGCTCCATGCTGTTTGCTGTTTTGGTGTCGTGTTGGGCAACATGCACTGGTTGCGTGTCTGGCACAGGAGTTGGCGTACCAAGAGTCCTTGAGCCAGAAGCTTGAGCCAAAACGGCTACGGAGCCTGCTGCTGCTCCTCCTCCTCCTTCTCTTCCTCCTCTTCCTCACCCTTTCCCTCATCCTCATCTTCCACCTCTTCCTCATCTTCCTCCCTCTCACGGAAGAGATCGGGGCCAGCACTCTTACCCAAACGGTTCCATAAACAAGTGCTGATATATATATATATATATATAGAGAGAGAGAGAGAGAAAGCGAGAGAGAGAGAGAGAGAGAACGAGAGAGAACGAGCGGGTGAGTCAGGCATCGAATTTGCTTGTCGTGGCGCGCCCTCACCAGCATCAGTAATTAGCATTACCTTCCTCCTCCGCACGTTGCATGCTGGTCTCCCGCGCAGCTGTTTGGCTCAGGAACCGCGCAGCAACTCTTATCCCAGACTTCCTTGCGGCCGTACGCCTCCGTGCCCAGGCGCATAGCCGCTCAGGGCCCGCAACCGCTGCATTGCCATAAGGCGGATGGCCTCGGCAGCGCCAGCCTGCAGGGAAGGCTGCGGCTGGGCGCGCGGGTGGCGGCTGGTGCTGATGTTGCGCGTGGCGTCGGGGTCCCTCTTGCACCCAGTGGGCACGCAGGCACCCGACAGCCAGGTCTCATGGGCAACGTTAGGGGGGTATGGGCTCACGGGGGGGGGGTGCATCGACCCCCAATCGCCCATGGTTCGCCGGCAGGGGCCCGATAGCCCACTCCGTCCAGGACCGTGCTGTTTCGCCATCGGGGGCCTGTCGTCGACCTATCGGCAATGCGTCGTCGATTACAGGTTGATGTTTTCCTCCTTGTGCTGGTCCCCACCTAACATTGACCCTCGAGGTCTTCCCCCCCATGTCAGGGCACTACATCCAGCCAGCGCACACCGAAGTGGCAGGGCCGAAAGGTACCAACAAGTTCTGGGCCAACTGGGTCGTCTCGAGCGGGGCCCACCAGACCATCTACCCTGGGCCATACTCGCTGCGGTGGGCCTCCACGGCCGCTGGAGCTCCGCCCGACCTGCGAGTGTCCCACGGCGAAGCCACCAACGTGTACGGCAATGCCCAGACGACGGGTACGGACCGCATCGAGTGGTACACGACACCCTTTGTCGGCGAATTTGGTCTCGGTGCGGTCGAGTCGTCCGGTGGGCAAGGGCACACCATCGTGCGCGAGGGGCTCTTCGGCGTCTGGGCAGCGTGGCGTGGCCCTGCCGGCACGTCGCGCAAGGTAACGTACCCTATCTTCAGCGGCATGACCTACGTCTCCGCCCTCTTCGAAGGCGGGTTCACACCTCGCATTACCTCGCAGCGAGCCATCACGACCGTTCACAAGGTTGGCGACGGAATCTGGAGTTTTGTCAACAACGGTGGTGTTGAGTTTCGCGTCTACGCCCTCACGCCAGAGGGCGAGCCCGTCGACGGCTCTTTTGACTTCGACGCTGCTGGCAAGCTAAATGGCCCGCTAGAGGGATGGATCAGACTCGCGCGCGTCGTGGAGCAGGGCGACGAAGCCGTCCTCGACGCGCATGCAGGCGCCGTGCTAACGGGCGTAGACCTTGAGGTCCTGGCCGGCGGAGCAGTGCGGTATGCGTTCGAGAAGCCTGGCGGCAGCAGCACGCCGGTCCTGCACTTCGCGTACCGGCACCACATAGCGCTGTTCGCTGGCGTCGAGCAGAGCGAGGCGGTGGGTCTGGCGCCCATGCGCGCGCCGACCAAGGGCCACATGCATGGCGTCGTGGGCGACGCCTGGAATCTCGCAGTCGACCTCTCTGAGGTATCCGGCCTGGGCTTCCTGCTTGATGGCGACCCTGACGCTTCGTTGGTCCCGTTCCTGGCGCAGGAGTCGCTCGGGACGCTCCAGTGGTTCCTTCAAAATGACAACTGGAAGACGGCCTTGTTCAAGAACAGCTATTACTTCAGCGGGAAGGGCTTCCAGAAGGTCGCGATGATCTGTTTGCTCGTGGAGAAGTTCTATGGCGCGAGCGACGGCCAGACGCATGCCTGCGCTGGCATTCTGGAGGCGGGGTTCAGGCGCCTATGTGACCCTCTTCCTCCTCCCAGCATTCTTGAAGTGGGGTTAGGCTCTTGTGTGACCCTCCAGCCTTATCCTCGTCGGCCCTATCGTCCGCCTCTCGTCGCCCTCCTTAGGTCCAGATGCAAACGCGAAGAACCAGTAGGTAACCTTCGGGAAACCTTGAACAACTATTTCTCTCAGGGTCCGTTAGAGTCCCCCCTAACCTCCCTCGAACCCGCTACGGCATGTTTGCGCCGCGTTCATGCGGCGGCGGCGCCAGCGCGGGCATTCGAGGTCAAACTCCGCCGGCCGCCTGAATTCAGGCCGCAGATCGAACGACCTCTCCCGACAGAAAGCGGCCATCGTTCAGGGTTGAACCGACGACGCGGTGTCCGAAACCAACGCCCGCGTCCTCGCGACGTGAGCCTGCCGTGGAGCCGCTGAAGAGCCCCTTCCCCAGGTGCTTATACGATCCTGCCTACTCCGGAGACTGCGGCAACGCGCCCAGGGGGACGTATTACGACCAGGACTGGGGCGGCATTCCAAGCAAGGATGGCTACAGTAGCGAGGGCTGCATGGGCTGGGTGGACTTTGGCAACGCCTGCTACAATGACCATCACTACCACTACGGGTCCGTCTTCTCGACCTCAATCCTCTGCTCCCTCGGATTCTAAAGTGACCACAGCTTTTCGCGCGAAAAGTCACGGGTGTCCATGGGCCAGGAGGAACACCTCTGGCATCACTGATTCCTCCTGCTCCCCTCCTCCCCTTCCTCGTCCTCGTTCGCCTCCTCCTCCTCCGCTTCCTCCTCGTCCTCCTCGTCGTCGTCCTCCCTCTCTGCTCCTGTCTCCCCCCCTCGGTACTTCGTGGTAGCAGCTGCCGTGCTGATGAAGCTTGAGCCCTCCATGGCGGCCGACGCAGCGTTTGTGACGTATGTGGACATGCTAATTCGGTCGGCGCCAAGAGCCAATGCACCTCACCTCCCCGTGTATGCGATTACCCCCTGAGGGGCAGGAGCAGGGACTTTCGTTGTTTGTGTTTCATGGCTCTCTATATGTTTCTCTCTTCTCTCTCTCTCTCGCGCTCTCGCTCTCTTTCTTTGTTTCTGTCACATAGGCACATGCTCAATGTGTGTGTGACATCGTATGGTATACAATTGATAATATTCTAGACAGCCAGACATTATTGTTTATTATCTGCATTTGGTGCGCAAATATGTATAGGTTGTAAGGCGTCACGTACTATTATCCAGCTGCCTGCGGCAAGTCCCGACACCGTGCCAGCCCAACATTCTGGGTGGAGACTGTTCGAGGGGGCACTGGAGGCCGGCACGAGAAACACCTTGTGTTTGATGATGTTGATGATGGCGATGATGATGATGATGATGATGATGATGATGATGATGATGATGATGATGATGATGATGATGCTGATGATGATGATGATGATGATGATGATGATGATGATGGTGGTGGTGGTGGTGATGATGATGATGGTGGTGGTGATGGTGATGGTGATGATGGTGATGGTGACGATGTTGTTGATGATGCTGATTATGATGATGGTGATGATGATGATCATGGTGATGGTGATGATGGTGATGATAATGACGCTGATGACATTGATGACATTGGTGATGATGACGATGATGATGATGATACTGATGGTGATGATGATGGTGATGCTGATGCTGGTGCTGATGCTGTTGTTGATGCTGATGACGATAATTGGGCTGATGATGATGCTGATGAGGATGAGGATGATGAGGACGCGTGATGGTGATGATGATGGTTCTAATGATATTGATGATGATGACGCTGGTGATGTTGATGATGAGGATGATGATGCTGATGATGCTGACGACAATGATAATGATGCTGCTGGTGGTGATGATGAGGATGCTGATTGTGATGATGCTGATGTTGATGATGATGGTGATGATGATGATGATGATGACAGTGACGTCAACGGCGACGATGCTGCTGACGATGGTGATGATGAAGATGATGATGATGCTGATGATGACGGTGGTGGTGGTCATGCTGATGAGGATGATGATGTCGATGATGATGCTGCTGATGATGACGATGACGATGACGAATACGATCCTGATGACGATGGTTATGACGATGTCGATGATGATGATTCTGATTATGAGGGTGATGATCATGATGATGATGACGATGACGATAATGATGCTGATGATGCTGATGATGAGGATGGTGGTGGTGGTGTTGATGATGATGATGATGATGATGATGATGATGATGGCGATGGCGACGAGGAGGGCAGAGGCAAGAAGGGGGAGGACGGAGGAGGGGGAGGAGAAGGAGGAGGACATGAGCGGATATGAGCAGGCCAAAACGGATGACGATTCCCTACGGTTTCGTGCCGTGGGCCGTTTGGCCGCGGCGGGCCGTCCCCGCGCCAACCAGACAGCCTGCAACCAGACTTCTCGCACTTCCTTCCCCTTTCTCGCACGAGCCCTGACTCCAGCATTGTAGCTCAAATGAACTCGCTCGAGACGAATTGAGGCTCCAGCTTCGCCCCCCGCTTCTCGAAAGAGGCTGGCCCAGAGCTCTCGACGATATTGTGCTCCAGCTTCGCCCCCTGCTTCTCGCAAGAGGCTGTCGACTGGCTCCCGATGAAATGCAACCCTGCCTTGTACGATTGCGCCCCAGCCTTTCCGCTCACGAGCTGATCCCAGCACTGTAGTTGGTGATGTGCGCCCCTGCACTTGCTAGCATGCGCTGTTCCTAGCGGAGTTAGTTTTGATGCCGTCGGGCTCTACCATCGCCTTCCACTTCTCGCAGCCGTTTTCTCGCAGCGCCAGGGTCTGCGGGGCACATTCCCCGCATCCACGGCCACTGTGCGCCCACCTTCTCGCACGGACTGCTCCCAGCGTTGTAGCTGATCGTGGCCCACCCGCGCGTTTCGCTCAGCACCAGCGTCCGCTGCCACTGCGCTCGCCTTTTCTCGCACGGACTGCTCCCAGCGTTGTAGCTGATCGTGGCATGCCCGCACGTTTCTCTCAGCGCTAGCGTCTGCTGCCACTGCCCGCTCCTTTTCTCGCACGGATTGTATCCAACGTTGCAGCTGATCGTGGTCCACTCGCACGTTTTGCTCAGCGCCAGCGTCCGCTGCCACTGCTCGCCCCGCTTCTCGCACGGACTGCTCCCAGCGTTGAAGCTGATCGTTGCCCACCCGCGCGTTTCGCTCAGCACCAGCGTCCGCTGCCACTGCGCTCGCCCTTGTTTCGCACGGACTGCTCCCAGCGTTGTAGCTGATCGTGGCATGCCCGCCCGTTTCTCTCAGCGCCAGCGTCTGCTGCCCATGCCCGCTCCTTTTCTCGCACGGACTGCTCCCAACGTTGTAGCTGGTGGCCCACCCGCACGTTATGCTCAGCTCCAGCGTCCGCTGCTTCTGCTCGCTTGCTTTCTCGCACGGCTTGCTCCCAGCGTTGTAGCTGATCGTGGCCCACTCGCACATTTCTCTCAGCCTGCCTCCAGCTTCTCGCATTCCAGCCAGAGCCTGCTGCCAGTGCTTGCCCTTCTCGCACGCGCTGGCCTCAACGCTGTAGCTAAGGACGTCGGGCTCTAGCTTCGTTTTCGTGTCTCGGAGTCTAGTTAGCGCTTGCTGCCACTGCCCACTGTTCTCGCACGCCCTTTCGGCGCTGTAGTTGGACCCGTCGGGCTGTTTCTCTATTCTCGCCCGCTCTCGGAGCCAGGCCAGAGTCTGCTGCCACTGCTCGCTCTTCTCGCACACGCTGATTCCAGCAACGTAGCTGATGAAGGCGTCGGGCCCCTGCGCTTTGTTGCCGGTGTGCTGTGCAGCGACACCGGTGCTCGCCAGGAGGAGGAGGAGGAGGAGGAGGAGGAGGAGGAGGAGGAGGAGTAGGAGGAGGACGAGGAGGAGGAATAGGAATAGGAATAGCAACATGACGATGTCAATGAAAGAGAGCAACTACCCCCCAGGCTTCCGCCGTGCAGCCCGTTCGGCTGCACTTAGAGGCTTGGGAAACACACCTCGATGGAAACGGTCCAGATAAGACCGTCTCGTATCATTGAGAGAATCAGAACCAAGACACTCTTGCCTGAGCCCCGTTTGTAGGTTGGCCGTGAAGAAAAACCCGCAAGCCCCACAGATCCAGACCCCGAGTGACTGATGAAACAACATACGGTGAGATTCGTGAGCCCACCCCCCAGCTAAGTGCAGCTTACGTCTAGGCCCCTTAGACACCACAGAGTCAACGTGCTCTAGAGGCTCGCAAGGGGATTCAAGCCACTCGTGAAGGGTGGCCCTCGTGCCGCTACTACGGCACGTGGAACACTTAAACCCACATTCGCTAAGCGTGTGTGCAGTATTAAACCTGGCTACGACAGCGGGGGAGGGCGGCGGCGGGGCAGGGGCCGAAGAGACACGACCACCAGGTGCGATCGCAGAAATCTTCGCTTCCTCGCGCTCGGCGGCCGTGGCCTCCAAAGTGGCCCTGAGGAGCCTCCGCCTGATCAAAGCAGCTCGTCCCTCGACCTCCGCGATCCTAGAACGAACACTGCTAGGCAACCTACACCGCTCAGCAGCACCCGAGGCAATGGCGTCAGCCACTTCATTACCGCGCACCAACCACTCGGGAGTCCGTTTCTCACACACATCCTGGGCTGTCTGGTGGGAGTTGACGTGCAGGACGACGATCTCGCTGAAGTCCCTGTGCTTAACCAGGACTCCGATCTCCGCCCACAAGCTGCTCATCTCACTCTTCCCAGGATTGAGATACTGCTGAGCGTGCCACCCACGCACAACATTTTCATTATCCGAAATGTACACCGTCGGACCTGCTGACCATCTTATAGCAAGCTCCAGACACCGAAGCTCACCTCTCGGCACAGACTGAACTCGTCCAGTTAGCGGCCCTGCAATCTTGGTCCCGATGGTCATGGCGATGGGGTCGGTCATCACAACCAAGCCCAGGCCGACTCTCCTCAGCGATGGGAACCGACTCTCGGGCCCCCCTGAAGCGTCGCCGAAAATGAGTAAAGGTTGAGCCAGCGTGCCCCTGCCAAGGCACTCAGCTCCAAGTGGGCATACCAGATCAACAGCTGTCCAGTCTTCTTGCATCGCTGGTGCTGGCGTAGCCGTCAAATGTCTAGGAATCAGCCCACGATACCACAGGCATGCCTCACTGTCGCCCTGTGCCAAGGCTGCTGGTACCAACTTATCTGAGTCAGTGAAAGCCTTGGCATTAATGTTAGCGTTGCATAACCACACTCGATGCCTCATGTCCTCGGGCTCCTGCTTGCACCGAAGACACAAATTGGACTTGCACAACTTCGCTTCGAACTTCCTCGTGCGTGTCCAACACCCTCCTGTGCTGATCGTCAACATGAGTTCGGCGAGCTGATGGCCATGAGGCCCTGCACGGAGCCGAACGAGCAGCCGTCGAAGGGAATCGTTATCAGCCCCGAGCTCCAGGCCGGCTCCATGATGAAGTTGGGCTGCAGCCCGCCACTGTTGTAGATCAAGGCTCTGCCCAAAATCAAATAAGAAATCTGCTGTGTCAACGTGCTGCTGGTCGATACTGCTGTCCTGAAAGATCCAGTCGACGGGCTCGAGTCCGAACTCGTCAGACCGACACCAATGCGACGGCGACCGAGGATCCCAACCTGCGTTGACCAGGTATGTGACTATCGCAGAGATTGGCCCGTGAATATATCTACCTCGCTCATGAATTGACAAGCTCCGCACTTGCTTGACAACGTCATCCCACACTCTACGGACTCCTGCACGTATCTGTGGGTATTCAAACCATGTCTTGAGCCATTGATTCAAGCATAACAAAGGCAACCGAACTCCTGGATC